TAGTATTTCTGTCCAAATGTGAATGTTTACCTTGTGAACTTTGGCTGAGTCGCAGAGACGCGCGAGTCAGGCGTGTGCTGCTGCGTCTGTGCACAATCTCAGCAGCTTCAGCATGCTCGACATCAGCGGAGAAGTCCGAGTCCTCCGTCCCGTCCGAGCTGCTGCCAGCGGTCCTCTGGGAAAGCAGCAGTTAGAAGTTAGAAGCAACAACTATGGACGACCAACACAACCGCGTGTGACAAAGTTACTTGTTTTTCCTCTTTACCAGAGGATAATCCAACAAAGACCCTATTCTGGGGGGAGGAGCGTCACCCCCTTCAAATCTCCTTCAGCACTTCACCCCCTCTTCCCACCAAGGACTTGTAAATACTCCAGATAAGCCTAATACCAGTATCACCACGGGCGGTCCGGACAGCTAATCTATTGTACCAAGCACAACCTATAACAACTGGGTTTGTTTAGAAGTCCAGCACCTAACGATTCAGGATAATTTGTTCAAATCAGCACACTTCCAGGTTAGCTAATAAGCATAATGAATGGAATGTTGTTTTATTCTGACAATTCCCACTAGACTAATTAAGCAGTGAGGGCTTCAATCACTGCACAAACTGATCTCTGTCATCTCGGTCTAGCCTAAAAAACAAAACAATCAAACCAAAACAAACACAAAAAGTATGAAAACAGGATCAAACAATGTGCACATTTCTCTCTGTTTAATTCATTACAACCATTATTATTGTCACAGTATTTATTTAGTTACTTTTCTAATCTGTCCTTACTTATGTTAAATGAAATGTAGAAACAGTGACTACTTTGTTACATTCACTTCCCATTCTTTTCTCATTGTTTTGCTAACTATTTATGAAAACAAATGAACAGTTACAGACTTTGATAAAAATGGAGAGGTAGATCCAGGCCAATGTGGTTATCCTGCTTTATGGAGGTTAGCGTAACATCAATAAAATAATAGTAAAAACATGTTATTAGGCTAACTAATTGTCTTTTAATATTGATGTAAATTTATAACAATGTAAGTTACTTTTTAAAATTCACACAGCCAAAAAGAAACCCAAAGATGAGAAACAACGTCAGTACAGCACGGGCTATTACCGCAAACTATGTTTGACAACTTCATAACAAGATGCTGCGCGCACAATTTACATACGACCAATTAAATTAAAAAGGAGGCGGGCGTTAGAAAATGCGAACCAATGAACGCGACGCTTGTCACGCGTCCGTCCAATCACAGCTGTTGTTTTGGTGCGGGCGCCCGTTCCTCCTCGCACCCCGAGAACTGCCTATTGCTTTTTCGTCAGTAAGCTAAAGCTGCTGCTGTTACCTACGTTAAAGTGTGCTCGGGATTCCCACTGTACTAAGCAGCCGTTACAAATTTGAACAAAGTTACCAGCATGTTTAAAACTCTTATTTGGGTAGTAGAAAGAAGCGACGGTTCAAAAACAACAACATATTCTTGCAACTCAGCAATCTGAGCCTGAGCTAGCTTAGCCATATAGCAATCGCAGATCGACAGCTCACTTATGCGATGCTATAAGCACTGATATTCTACGAATGCTACAAGCCGTTCACTTTGTCTTGTAGGAACGTGTTTTAGCTTGCAGCCCCCTTAAGTTTGTTTCCCACACAGTTTGTTTGCTTTTACCTCTACGTCGGCTAACATTAGCTATGACGTTATGTTGTTGTTTATCTGCATTAACGGTTGAGTCTGCCTCACCTTTCTCCGGGGCATTTTTCAAAGATCTGCCGTAACGCCTCTGGCGGATTATTATCCCGTGCTGTGGCAATTTATGGCAGCCTTTTGAAACTGTAACAACGAAAAAATAGCCACCAGCTGACATGAGCCAACCCAGCTGAAAAAAAGCGCATAAAATTCTCCGCACTTCCTAGTGAGGACAGCGCAAACTCGCTCTTTTTGGGCGGTACAGTGACAAAATGACTCCGGGGAGAAACATACACCGTCAAATCACGCTACTATGGTGCATTAAGATTTTTGCAGCCATATTTGAATGCGCTCAATTGGGTATTTGGGATTGCTTTAAACTGTACAGCATCGTAAAAAGTAATAGTCATAATAAAAGCAATAAATAAATAAATGTAAAACAATTAGCCGTTTAAAGTAATGGCTGCGCTAGTCAAAACTAATGACGTTCTTATAGACGTGGACCGCACCAAAACACGTTGCGTGTTTAAACCAAATTTGTATTGTGGCTATGAATCTTTTAACTGGAGGAAGTCTTCAAAATAGCAGACAACACAATTACACATGTACTTAAAAAAAGTGATTTAAGTTTAAAATTTAACACCATAACCTCCTAAGATGTGATGAGTCATTTTTAAAGCGAATTGCCCCTCATTTATTATCATTTATTTTCATTTTTAATCATTCAAAATCACTTTTTGTTTTAAAATTAAATTATTTGTTTTATTTAGCTACATGACAGACTGGACAGGTGACCGAATGTTTCCGTGTGTGCGTGTGTGTTTTAAAGGTGTAGCTACTTTACGTATGTTGGTAAATAGACTTCGGTGAACAGGGTTTACAAAGGGGTTAAATCTAAACTTTAAAAATTACATGTTATTCAAGTATCTTTATAACTCTTTGATATTGTAACCAATCCGGTCCTTTTTGTCCACTTAAAATATGTTTACAGAACTATTGTGATATTGTTTGTAATATTTGCTGTCCTCTTGGGCAGATTAACCTTAAAAAACATTTTTAATGCCAACAAGATTTTCTTAACTGGATAAATATAGGATATATAAAAGTCACTGCCAAAAACTGATTGCAGCTTTTGCCTTGTTACAATAATGTTGTTTGTGGCTCAAGATGACTTGATATCAGTCATGGCGGATACAGTTGGCATATGTTTCACATATTATAGACCAACAAGTTATATATCAGTTTTAGCAAACACTAAAAATCAGTTTTTGGCAGACGATAATTTTTTGGCACAAACACCGGAAATTAGTTTTTATTTTGAAATTATGTCACGCGTTTTATTACAATAATTTGTATGAGTTTAAAAAAACGAAAACTAAAAACTGGATTGATCGTGGTTTACGAAGTTAAAAAAGGTTATTTTTATTTTCTCAGTGTCCATACATCCTAGTACAGTCTATCTGCGTTCTGGTGAACTTAGCGCACACGATAGCGGAAGTCGGGAGGAGTGAATCCTCTCGCTCTCACGTATCGATCTGCGCGTTTCTGGCAGCTCAGGGAAGCTAGCACGTTTCTTTCAGAGTCGGAGTGACGCTCGAGTTCCCCTTCTGCCAGCTTTCTCTCTTCGTATTCTTCCTAACTCCATCCAAGAACGACCACGCACAGCGACGGCGAGATTTGCTCCCACAGTGGTTTCTTCTTATTATGGCTGTTAGCAGCACCAAGACAGTGTACGAGATTTTCCAAAGCATGGAGTACGGGCCAGCAGCAACTTCTAGCTCTGCTACTGCACAGGTACAGATTACGTTCAGATTCATATTCGGAGACTGCTTTAAAACTAAACTTACTCACAGATGCTAGCATGCTGTGCTGCGGAGTTAGCGGATACCTTTGTAGGTTATTGAACTCGTGAAGTTGCTTAACTGTTAGCCCAGTGTCCCTCACAAGACAAACATGTGACACAACTAGACACATAATTACATTATAATGTGTCAAGTGATTACTGTTCATGTAGATTGTTTCTTTTTTATGTCCGTATCCCACCGTAGTCCGTGAAAAACATTTTAGGGGTTTCCTCTTTGAACTTGAAAAGAGTTTAACAGGAGCTTCTGCCCAATGCCAAATGTAGAAGATGGGATCTCTCAATAAAGGTTTACCCCTCATGCTGTCAGGCCTGCTAAAAC